GGTGGAGTCAGGTTGAAAATATTGGAGAGAAGAGAGTGCATTGGAGACGTGCTAGTGAATTCCTATGTTCCACTAGGAACCCAAGGGACAAATAATACAATGATAATAATCTCATATTGATAAGTGTCCTTGTGATCCGAGTTATTTTAACACATTTCACAGTGATGGAAAACAATTTTAACTTGATTACACAGCTCAAAGCTCAGAGAACACCAAAACACCATCACATTCTCCAATATTTATTACAATCAAAACTAGTAGATTACTGGAGATGAATAAATTAATTTTAATAAATCAAAGCCAGAATTACTGAATTTCATACTAGAAAGTGATTGCATGTTACACAAGAGGTAAATGTCGAAAGTTTTTATGATAATTCAATTGTGAAATTACCTTATCATTTTAGGTGATGTTGGGTAGATTTTTACTTCTTATCGTAGGGTAGACACTACCTGTTATATAGATAAAATTCGAGGCACATACTAGAAGAATAAACTGTTATCCTTAATAATGCCTAGAATTACGTTGATACCAAAACATACTTCATAAGATACCTTGTCAAAAGTTTAAAATCATTCTAGTTAGTCGGAGGTTTACGTTTAGTTAAAAAGACATTTATGTTTTGCTTAAATTTTCCAGTCATACGGAGCGTCATTTTCAGTTGTTATGAATTGTGTAGAGGAAAGAGGAAGCTTATTTATACTTTGGTATATTTTGTAACCAATGATTACTGCTATAAAGTTTTCTGATGATAGCTGCATTAATATTTTACTGTTGAAAAGAAGATACTCAACTAATAGACTAAATTAGACACCTTTTTATAGTGATGATGGATAGTGGCTATCATTGGAATCCAGGACGCACATTTCATCCTATTTGCGACTTATCAGGTCAATGAACCTGCCTTCCAGTGGGCAGTGTTGTTCTCACTAGGACATGAGAACTAAACGCATAGCTTCAAAAGCCAGAGTGTTATCCACTTGGCAACTGAGTTATAATAGCCACTTTTTGTGTGAATGACATGGTTTCTATGTTGATGAGGTGGCTATCGTGACTCAGTGACCTTTTGGATAATTCTCTGGGGTTGGAATCAATCGGTTCCGGGTTCCAGTCTTAATGGGAACAACAATGCTCACTAAGAGCCAGTTACATCCTGCTGACGAATCCCGAGTGGGAAGAAACCAGCGTCTTCGATTCCATTGCTGGCCATTATCCATCATTATCATGAAATTGAAACAACAGTTGGAGGCATCCGTGTAGGAGCCTGTATACCATTTCTCACCAATTAACGATTGGATAATACAAGCAATAACACAGCAAGTTAGACACTGATGAAAAACTCTGTATTTCGTCTTCTAGTTTGTGAAGCAACCACCAACAATTTGTCTTAGTTTATTGGTATTTATCAACTGGCAATGATCGTAACCTTGGTCAACATGCAATCATGTAGTCAGAATAGTCACTGATGAGTTATTCATTCGAACTATTTAACTGAATAATTTAGGTTTGGACTGGATAAGGCAATACCACTCCACTACTCAGGTTGAGTAAATCTAAAATATGACTGAACAACTGCTCAATAATTGTCATCAAAGCTTAATGGTATCATATATGAAACAACAAAACCTCTCTTTATGCAACATAGTTTAATAATTCATATGACAACAGTTGTCACAATGAATTGTCTTCTATTTTCAGTACATGACTGAATTGCTTCGTCTTAACGATATTCATAATGACTGTTTCACTAGGGATTTTGCTCAAATGTAGAAATAATGTTAAAAATCAGCTTTTTAATAATTTTGACTAGCCTGTTTCTGATATGCTATTATAGAATATTGATTGAAATCTATAGTACTGTCTGGCAAAGACATTTTTGAAAGCAAAGTTCGCCATTCTTTTATTTCTTAGTGACTGACTGATATTTTCATCACTAAAGGATTACTTATTTGTCTCTTGGGTTCCTAATGGAACATAGGCCGTCAGTAGCACGTCTCCAATGCGCTGTGTTCTCTGAAATCTTTTGAACCTGGTTAACTAGTTCACTAGTTACTAGCCGGTCCTAAGCCCGGGTAAAGAGGGAAGTTTGGGCATAGAGCTACCAACCCTACCCTGTAAAACCGACCCAACCGCTACAGAAACGTCAAAGCACAGAAAAAATATGAAAAATAAAAACAAACTTATAGCTCGCTGGAATTGGGGAGACGAAATGACGCCGTTTGGTGAAAGCCTTGGGAAGCCAATTGGCAGATGCTTCTTCTCTTCTCTCGACGAAAGCGAAAGTAAACATAGGGACATGGAATGTCTGCACTATGTTTGAACCTAGCAAGGCTGGCCAAATTGCAAAAGAGATGAGAAGGTATAGCATTGAAGTGCTAGGAATTTGCGAAAGCAGATGGAGTGGAAGTGGACTCTCCAAACTGTCAAATGGAGAGTCACTAATGTACTCCTATATTGTCACCCAGGCGAAAACCACGGGCACACTGAGGGAGAGGCTATCATGATGTCCTCAAGAGCATCAAAGGCTCTCATGCAGTGGGAACCAATCTCCACCAGGATGAGGATCATGACAGCAAGGTTCAACTCAAGAGGAAGGAAAGTCAAGATCATACAATGCTACGCACCTGCAAATAATGCAGAGCAAGAGAAAAAGGAGGAATTCTACAGACAACTGCAATCAACATTGGGCAAGACCTCAGTTGGCGATATCGAAATTCTAATGGGCGACATGAATGCCAAACTCGGAGCGGAAAACACAGGAAGAGAACTAACCATGGATTGAAAAGCGCTCGGTGAAATGAAAGAGAATGGAGAATTGTTTACAGAATTTTTTGCATTCAACGATTTGTTGATTGAAGGCAGTGTGTTCAAGCGCAAGGATATCCACAAAGCGACAGGGATTTCACCAGATGGACACACTAAAAATCAGATCGACTTTATCTCAATCTCAAGAAAGTGGAGATGCAGCCTACTTGACACAAGGTCAAGAAGAGGAGCGGATATAGGCTCAGACCATTATCTAGTGCAAGTAACCTTCTAAATCAAGTTGAAAGCCTTCAAGGAAGTTGGTGATAGACCACAGTTCAAGTACAACACTCGGAAACTGAAGGATGAAACTACAAAGGACATCTTCACGGCAGCCATCAAGACAAAATGGGAGATATCGAGGAACATCCCTGATATTTTGAGGACTGCTGCAGTTCAACAATCATGAGTAGATTTGTGTATTGAAATATCAGCCAGACTTTGTTAGTTGTATCGCAAAATGATTGATAAAATTTGATGGAAAGATAGGACTGACTCGAAAACAAGAAGTTAGTAACTCTCCATTAACCAGCAGTCTTCACGACCCAGTCCTACAGTTGATCGACCATGGCTCGAATAGTTCAGTGGTAACTTCTCCGATTGCAGCATTGAGCGGCACGAATTCGAATCCTAGGTGGGAAATCAGCTCCCTCTAGGTTGCAGGCATGCTTTGCTGCCGAGTACTAAAAAGTACTAAAAAGCTCGTAACCTAAATCAAGTCCAGCTTCCTGACGATTGTTTCCAACCAACTAACATGTGCGCCAGTACATCGTGACGATGAGTCTCCTGATCTGATGACAACATTGTAAAATGGTAGACAGAATTCGATCAGCACAAACGGCTAGACAACTTGAAGTTGATTACCAGCCAGTGACCAATCAATGTATACTAATTACCCTTCTGTGATTGAAATGCTTTTGGGGAAATCAGTGTATTGTTTGAAACTGAAATCTTCCATTATTCATTAGCAATATGGGGTAATTTTAAACCATTCAGAAAAGTTGTATCTTTAACTGAAATATTAGCCCCAGTTATTAACAGGTAAGGCTGCTTGCAGGTTAGTACTTTAAAACCAATATTTCCTGAAAAACGGGATAAGAAATGTAGCTTAACTTACTGGTGGATAACTCCCCCTCTCCTATTTCTTCTTTAAAGTAATTTTCGCCACTGAAATACTTTCTTTCCCAATAGACATTACAAAACATTTTTGCTCTCCTAATCAAAATATCTACACAGTAATTATACCTTAGTTTTGGTTATGGTTACTGCCAAAAATCACTTCATTCCTTTTCCATAGTAACAAATGGAACATGATATATATTTTAACTAAGATGATGTCAAATTTGATATAGTGGTATATTCATCATGGAGCGATATCAGCTGGAGAGCCATTGAGAATCTGAGAGTTCTGGAATTCCGTTTCATTGCTAGTATTGAATTCCTCAGCATTACGCACACACGACAATGCCAGAGATCAAATTCTGGTTTCACGATAAACGAATAACCATTCAGCCAATGGGTTGGAATTCAATGGTACACAGTTTTCCACTTCTCTTAATTTGTAATAAGTGCGAATACCCAGCATAGTCTTCAGTTAGCGTCCGCTTCCTAACCGACTGGTTGACCCTACAGGTTCTCCAACTGATGTCAGTTCATGATGAATACCACCTTAAAAATCAAATCTTCACTAACCTCAAAATATATAGTGGTATTTATTTCTCGACCAGTATATTAATTACCACTACCTGAATATCCTTTTTCGGATGATTGTAAGACCACCTTAGTGAGTATTAAACAGAGGTAGTGTAGGACAACTAGGTTCACTTTTCTAGCATCTTAAGAAGAGGATAGTTAATCTGCTTAAGTAAGAAGTTTGGATAAACGATTCTATATATAACGAAAGACTTAACGACGAGTTGGTCATCCGAGGAGATGGTGACACGTAGGAGATCATGTGAGGAAGAAATGAGAGGTTGTGAGCAGTGGGGTGGGGCCAGGTTCGAAAGACTGCAGATGTCAGAGTGGAATGGAGGCGTGCTGTTGAATCCCTGTGTTCCACTAGGAATCCAAGGGGAAAATAATAATAATAGTAATAAAATACTTCCACTTAATCTTCTTTTGAACAAAGGATTCACTTTTGTTTCAACCAATGAGACAACACTGCGCATTAATTCTGTTCCACATTTGTATTTTAGCTCTTTATTACCCAAAACGAACAGATTTTTCACCTCGTTTAAAAAAGAATCAACCTTATGTGGTTCGAATAAATGAAGATGCAAATCTACGATATTATTCTGATGATTCACCATCGAATTCTTTCATCAGTGATCAGATTTCGAATCCAACACCAAAAATTTCGTAAGTATACGTTTATCAAACAATTTTTATCATGTAAATTGTCAATGATGAGAATTCTTCTCTTTTATAGTTGTCAGCAAATAAACTCATATATTCTGTTAATTATTTAGACATTTATGAAATATGCTTTTATTAGGTTCAACTTTGGTTGTATCTATCGATGTTTTCTGATTAATATTTCATCATGAAATTGGGTATTCACAAATGAAGAATGAAAATTTAGCAACTGAATTACAAATAATTACTCATAGTATTATTTTTAAGTTATATTTCATCAGACAAGTTACCAGTCATTGAAGTTTACACTAACTATCAAGTTTAAATTCTATGTCTCAATGGTAACGCTTGTATTTAAGCAGATGAAGCGGATAATTGTATGGTTCGATAAAATTAATTAAGGATCTTTCTCATTATGAGGAAGTTAAATAACAACAGAAATCTTGGTTATCATTGTATTCTAGGATCAATTTTTTAGTACTCATCTCTGTCATTAAATCATCTGTTACTTTCAGGTGTCCTTGAAGATTACTAGTTTGATATGATCTTCATTTGTACACTGTACTTTATATACATGACAGTGTAACATGTTATATAATATTCAGTCTTTCGATGATATGCCAAGTTCATTTATGACCATATTTCATTTACCTAGAATGCATTGAATAGTTATTTAGGCTAGTGGAGACATTCACTCTTCAATATGCTTTGAATTCTGTCAACTGGGGTTACATAGTTTCGCTTTTATACTGATTATATTTTATGGTCAATGATTTGCAATAGCTGAAATAAAGTTTCAGTTGAATTTTAATGGTCTTAAAGTGTGATGGTTGTTTTATACACTTAATGGGTGTACTTCAAGACAGTTGGTCCATGAAAATCAGCCTAACTACAGAAAGTGTAACCAAATACCCAGCAACAATAGAAAATCCATCAAAGTTTTAAATACATCTCTTGAACTAATATTAGGGCTACAAAGTCTTGATATGATGAGTTTGGCTAGTTACTCATTACTGTCTCTATTCAAAGTCGAACAGATGGTATTGTGCACTGACAAGATCAGTTAAAAAAAGGATAGGATACCTATGTATTTCCACATTGACAGTTTCAAGAATGCAGTTCTTCCATAGCTTCAGAAGTGAGCATAAAGATGTCGGTCTTGTTTTTAGTTGTTAAGACCAATACAAACCACGTAGAAATGATTTTTACAATAAAATACAAAGGAAAACGAAGCGAAACATATTCCTCAACCTTGAACACGTTCGCGTGTTGACCACATTAGGTTGGAACATGGTTCAGGGTGGTCAGACCAGAACATCTCACCAGTCCACGAAGTCTCTGACTGTTGGTTTCAACCAAGTGGGGAGATGTAAACTGACTGGCTCAGGTCCTAGGGATGATAGAATTCTGTTAGTTGGTTGGAGGCAATCGGCAGGAGGCCCTGAACCTAGGTTTCGGGCTTTTGCAAATATGCTCGGTAGGGTTCGGTGTGCACTCAGGACTAAACAACATGAAATTGGTTGCACTCCCGTGACCAATCAATACATGTAAGTCAATCCTGCAGGAGGTCAGTCGCAGACTGAATACTTCAGTGGTAAAGTAGCTGACTACAACACTGGGTTACGTGGGTTCGAATCTCAGGCGGGACATCAGTTCCATCGAGGTTGCAGATACGCCTTGCTGACGAGTGCCAAAAAGCACGAAACCTAGGTCCATGGCTTCCTGCCGATTGCCTTTAACCAACTAACATCTACTAATGTGCACCGCGGTGCTGAGCTTCTTAGCTTGATTGCCACATTGCAAATATGATTGATAGGATTTGGTCTGCATTCAGGACTAAACAACATGAAATTGGTTGCACTCCCGTGACCAGTCAATAGATGATAGAATTCAGGGGTTGATGACTTGCTGAAATGGTTAAGAATAAATCACAATGGCGAAGATGTATTCACTCTTTGACATCTAAAGTTTGAATACTTGCACTAACCGTTATCTTCAACTTACCTGTTCTCTCACATACTTTTGTCAAATTTGATATCACTTTTTTTCTATCCACCTGTTCTTTGTATACTGCTCAAAAGTGGCGCAAGTTGAAGTGATGCACTTGCATATGAGGTTCGATGTTGACTTTTTCTGTCTACCTGCCTGCACGTTTGCAATGAGAAGTACACAATGTGTGACGACCAACGATACTCCCGTAGGTGTAGTGGAGTTCGAACCCAAGATACACTGGTTACAAATCAAATGCATATACTGATGAGACACAAGTCAATTCAGTAGTTTGCATACGGAGAGTGGCTACTGAAGCCAGATTAAAAAGATTAGAGAAAAGAGATTGGAATGGCGACATTCTACTGAATCCCTGTATTCCACTAGGAACACAAGAGAAAAATAATAATATAATAACTCTGAACAATAATTAACAGGATGACGACTGAAACGTTTAGTGGAAAAAAAGAATACAAAACAGCCTCATTAAAATTTCAACACTACAGAAAGATACTGTAAAGTTTCTTTTCCCAAGGGGATTCACCGCACTGATTCAATATGAACTATTCACATAATGACTAATTGCAACTGTTTCGCTGGAAGAATACAATTTAGACTATGAGTTGCTGTGAGTTGCTATTGATGATACAAAATAAATAATTGAGAAGAGATAATTCAACGAAGAAAGTTTTCGACGATATCCTTCTTCCAAAGCTGTACAGTCGAATTCATGTATATATCATAAACATATAACAGTCTGTTAGAAAACGATAGGGTATGATTACATTATTAACCGAGTGCTAAAAAAACTGGAATCAAGAATGCAAAGTAGTTGCGTAATAATCTAAGAACTATTGCATCTGACACGATAAATGATACCGAAGGAGGATTCTGGTCTAGCTTTATGTCCAGAGTTGACCAAATGTTCAAGAACTGAACTGTTAATTGATTTACATTCTCCCATCGACAACCATGCAGGATAGTACTCAGAGGTCACATCTATGGGTTTGATTAGTTAGTCTGTTCAAAAGGAGTAAGCCTTCGACAGTTGTGCACAACGGAGGCACTGGTAATTCATCAATTCAAGCCTGATCTCTGCATGCAAAAGAAGTATGTTCAATCTCTCATCTTACCATGGTCTTAACACTTTCACCATCCTTTTTCGATTTCATTATAATTAATTAGTTTACTGTTATTATCACCTTGGTTATGACCCTTGTCTCATTCTTCACCTTCTTTGCATCTATCTGTCTATCTATCAAGTGGACACTCAATATTTGCGTTTCTTATCTACTAACAATTTTCACCCTGTCAAACTCCTCGCCTTGCCCGATATTTCTACTGTCTTAGATTATTACGCAACTACTTTGCATTCTTGATTCCGGGTTTTTTAACACTAGGTTGATGATGTAACTACACCCTACTGTTTTACAATAGACTGTTATATGTTTATGATATATACATGAATTCGACTGTACAGCTTTGGAAGAAGGATATCGTCGAAAACTTTCTTCGTTGAATTATCTCTTCTCAATTATTTATTTTGTATCATCAATAGCAACTCACAGCAACTCATAGTCTAAATTGTATTCTTCCAGCGAAACAGTTGCAATTAGTCATTATGTGAATAGTTCATATTGAATCAGTGCGGTGAATCCCCTTGGGAAAAGAAACTTTACAGTATCTTTCTGTAGTGTTGAAATTTTAATGAGGCTGTTTTGTATTCTTTTTTTCCACTAAACGTTTCAGTCGTCATCCTGTTAATTATTGTTCAGAGTTATTATATTATTATTTTTCTCTTGTGTTCCTAGTGGAATACAGGGATTCAGTAGAATGTCGCCATTCCAATCTCTTTTCTCTAATCTTTTTAATCTAACCCCATGACTGCCTATAAGCTTTCATTTCTTCCTCACACAATCTTCTCCATGTCGTTAGCCTCAGACGCAAAAATTCGTCGTTTCCCATTTGGGTTCCACTCTAGAGATTGGTCTGGCCTGGTCTGGCATGGCCTGACTAGTAATGTCATCAAACTGTCTTCTCAGTGTGTACCCAATCTAATCCATCTCCACCTACTTCTTGTGCATGTTTGTTGTGTGATAGGTTCATGGTCGGTTGGTTGGTTGCCAGTGAGAGTGAGTTCTTTGTTGTTTATTCTCATTATTCCGGCCACCTGATGTGATGTTGAGTATGGAGTGAGCGTAGGTGGCAGCTGTTGATGAATGTTTGTAGGTAGTTGGAAATGCTTTTTGTAAGATGCCAAGTTTTTCAATCATCACATGGAAGCACTGAGTGACTTGACTGTGTGACTGGCATTAGTGTTGAAATCGGTATGTTGTTCATGCTCTATGTTGAGTGTAGTGTAGTATTGTGTGGTGTAGTGTAGTGTTGTGTGGTGTAGTGTAGTGTAGTGTGCAGTAGATCTCCACATTGTTTATTTCAGATTAATGAAGGAGGATCTGTCTTGTTGTTTTTCCGATCTTGGTTGGCTTTGACATCCTGATGTGTGCGTGTGCTGCGTGTATTTGAAATAATGGTGCCTAGTTATGTATGTAGATAGGTAGGTGTGAGAGACTTTGTTTAGATTTATCCTGTTGATGGTGATTGTTGATTGTTGTTGTTGCTGCTGATTGGATATCCTGATCACCTGTCTTCTCTACGTTCATCTGAATTCCTCGTCCCGTCTTCTCTGCCTCTTCCACCAACTTGTTGGTTTATGCATGTAGATCTTCGAATTTGTGGAACAAGACACTAGACATAAATCGTCATCTTTGGTGAAATTCAAATCTTTTTCTGGGGTCTTTTCATCAGTCAAACAACGTATGCCCATCTTCTCGCACATCATAGTTGTTTATTGCATGATTCATTCCACTACAATAAGTAAAATCGTCAGTGATAGTAGGTTGTCTTCATCAGAATACTTTGTTGTAATTCAACTAATACTTTTATAGGATTTATTGATTTCTGAAATATTTTCACGATAAAGTGAGTTTTAGTCGGGTTACCACTGAGAAGTTGGCAGTAATGTTTCTTTTCAGTTTGTGACTTCTCAGTAGTGAGCACACGCAACACCGTCAAGTGGTCAAGCGTTGCGATGATGATGATTCAATGGCATGTTTCAATTTTTATGATAACACTTTTGACTTTTTGAAGCATGATATCTGGAAAGATTATTCGATTGTTTTCAATGATGAATGTAACAATTTTTATTTTGTATGTTATTTTAGCTGTAATGGCTAGTGTTTTCAATTTCATTGTATGCGTGTACAAATGTACACTATAACAATGTATACATGTATCAAGGATTGTATCCATCAAATTATGTATCTATTTGTCCTAACCATCTGGCCGAGAGAATCTTAAAAATCCTCCTTACTGCAGTTTCTTGTCCATATTTAATTTATTTATTGTATCCACTTTGACCTATTCTGATTACAGAAAATGCTTTTGACAAAAAAATAAAAGCATATTTGATCGAAATGCAACATGAGAAAAACAAGATACACTAACGAAACAATGACAAATTTTTATACCTGAAGGTAAATACTGTCTCTTTCTCTCTGACCATCTTCGTCAACCGGCAACATCAAAAACACTAACATTGTCATTGGTGGGCAGACTTTGTAACAATATATTTTGTGCGTTAGACACATAGGCGCATATACATTTACACTTAAACACACATTAACAAAGGGACCAGTGTGCTTCATATTTCCACTTTCAAAGACAGATATTCACCTGAATAATGAGACAAAGAATTGTAATAAATATGGGTAACAAAAGACTACGAATCAAAGTTGTGATTGAAGTGAAATATAAATTTGATCAGCAGTCATGTCTTATAATTCAATTGGTACAGCATCAGGTTGGTGGCCCAGTGATCGCTAGTTTGAATCCTGCTGTGGTCCAAATTTTCATTTCACTTTCAACCATCACCTAGTATCACTTACATTTGATAGAACCAAAGTGACCAGCTACTATTAGCATGTGGGTCCCTGCGAGGATGTCTGGATTATTGCCTGCATGTTCACTAATACTCAAGTTGTAGTTAACTTGAAGATAAAATGATGAGATAACCACTGGAATGTTTTCAGCAGAGACCTACTTTTATGGAGTGTTGTCCATACAATCAATAAAATCTAATGATTTCTTGAAGGCATAGTTAAGTTATATTACTGGTAGGTGATTGAAGATGAAATGAATATCTGAACAGTGGCAGGATTCGAACCAGTGACACGGAGGTCAAATCATGGTTTTCCCAGGCACTCCACTAAATTATCATCCCTGAATAGTATTCCAGTTGTCATACGCTAAGACAATTCAGATACATATGTTGGCAGGAAAGTATAAAAGAGTTAGCTTGATCATAAGTGTGTGCTTTTGAGGATTCCACAGATCTTGTAGAAAACATATTCATGGCTTCATAGCTTTCAACTTTCCTCCAACCTATGAAGTTTTCACTATTTATTGATATACTCGTAATTCTCCGTTGGTCTATTGGATCGAATTGTTCGACATCTGTGGCATAATCGATGACGTCGTGGCGTTTTAAGCGACGGTTATGATGTTCGAGTCTCAGTGGGAACAACGTCACTCACTGGGGTGCAGGTACATCCAGCTGACGAGTCGCAAATAGGACGAGACGCGCGTCCTGGATTCGTGTGCTAGCAACAACCAACTAAATTACAATGACTTCTTACCAGCAGAGTGACCTCAAGATAACAGTGAATCAGTTCTAAAATGAGGGTCATCGTCTCAGATTTGACTGAATAAATGGGCATGAAAACTCACTGAAGTCTTTTTAGTAGTTCCTGAACCGTAGACAAAAGGTGCTTCGGAGTGTGGAGGGATATACATGACACTGATCAAAGAATGAAATAAGTCGTTGTGCGTTTGAAGTTGAAGAATGCATTTTACTAAAGTCCAGCTCATTATGTCAGTGGTAAGATGATCACTACGAAGCTTGAAGGTTTCGTGAGTGACTCAACAGGGTTTTATTTTCAATCGCATTCAAGCACATTGTTTCACTACTCTGCTTCCTCTGTATGTGTGTGCGTTTAGCTGCTCACCTCATTGGAACTTTGAGCATCACTCTAATCCTAAACTCCTACATAATATTGCATACGATTTATTGTTGACATATCAAATGAAACATCTCATTCTTCAATCAGGTATACCACTCTCAGTTTCCATATTCTAGGCCGAATTACTTCAGTGACACAGAAAAATCAACAATTATCATCTACCATTCTTAGATTACCTTTAAATAGACGAAAAGATAATTCAGCAGGGTCGTTTGTCTACAGAAAGCTTACATGTATATGACAATATCTGAATTTTCACAGTTTTGTACGCTCTAATGCAAGCGACGTCCAGTAAAATGCTTATTCAATAAAATTAGTCGCATCTGTATATCGAATGTGTAGGATAAAGATGTCAACTAGTTGACAAAACACTTATGGGGAACGGATATCTGTCGAAGTTTATAAACAGTTGTAGAAGTCAGCTGGCACTAAAACCAACTCTATGCACGATTTCGCTATGATCAATAGTGCGAGCTAACAGTCTACGTGCGATACGAACCTAACGCGCAACCGAATCAACTCTAGACATTAATCAGAATATCACCCAGCACAACAGCAATACCAATGATATGCAAAGACAGGAAGAGAAGGCAGACCATTGACAGACAGCTTTTACTGTCTCAGTCAAAAGCCATGCTGAATATAATATATATATATATATATATATATATATATATATATATATATATATATTTCCAAATGACTTTGAGAACGCTAAATTCACATACAAATTAAGTGTTAACAACTATACATACATATGTTTGTTGAGCTTACATACACATACAACGTCTTCAGAGAAGTGAGAAAACAAAAGCTAGTAAAGGTATGAAAACAGCAATGATAAGTTATTTTAGGGTTATAGGCTAACATCAGGCAAAAGTTATACAAATTTAAAGGTATATAGCAGATTCCTAGGGTGAGTATTCACATCACTCTACCATACAAAGAGGATCTGAATCGCATAATTTTGAGGCAGGCTCAAATCAGCCATTAGGAAAACCCGTAATGCAGCTAATCTTATTATTGTAGGAAAAACAAAACACATGCTTCACCACAAGTATAACTAAACACCTCATAGTGATTATAACATATCTCTTTGTGTTTACCAGTTTATATATATGTGTGGTCACGTGTACATATGGAGGAATAATCGAGTTAGACAGCTGAGGTTGGAAGAACGTATACCTAAATGACTTCAAAAACAAAATTTTATAAGCTCAGTTGGGAAACGGCCTTCATCTACACTCAAACATTATAGAAAAGAGGTCACGAGATTAATGTCCGAAAATCTTTCGAAATTTTATAAAGAAATAGTTATGGATGCTTATCGGAATTCGTCTAAGCGATAGCCATGCACAAATTGATACCATCTTTATGTGTACAAAATAATTTGTTCTCATGCTATGCCTACCTTGGTAAACTTTGTTTGCTTTTCAAAGAATAGGATCAACTATATTACTTTTCGTTTTTGTTCTCATCTTTCTTATTTTAATCACCCTATTTTATCTCAATTGTTTTATTTGTCCTTCCATCCTTAGATCTTATATAAAGTGACTTGATGCGTAAACTTGTGGACAGACTGTTTGAAATATATTACGGAATAGCATCACAATGCTCAGATAAGCTTCGTCTTCGAATCACACTATTTCAGTTCTTGTTTAGATCAGGCTACTGTTATTTTCAGCCAGAATTTGGGCTAGTAGGTATATATTGGCTGACATTGCTTAGGATTCTAGTAAGCTATCCGTCTAACTGTATACAGCAGACATCACTTCATGTCTGAAAGATTATTCAATTAGAACTTATGCTCATTTATCCGCAAGTTTAATGTATCAGTAAATAACATCAAGCTTTCAATTTCTATGTCACCCTTGGACGCCCAACTCGTCGTTTCCCATTTAGGTTCCACTCTAGAGATTGGTCTGGCCTGGTCTGGCATGGCCTGACTAGTAATGTCATCAAACTGTCTTCTCAGTGTGTACCCAATCTAATCCATCTCCACCTACTTCTTGTGCATGTTTGTTGTGTGATAGGTTCATGGTCGGTTGGTTGGTTGCCAGTGAGAGTGAGTTCTTTGTTGTTTATTCTCATTATTCCGGCCACCTGATGTGATGTTGAGTATGGAGTGAGCGTAGGTGGCAGCTGTTGATGAATGTTTGTAGGTGGTTGGAAATGCTTTTTGTAAGATGCCAAGTTTTTCAATCATCACATGGAAGCACTGAGTGACTTGACTGTGTGACTGGCATTAGTGTTGAAATCGGTATGTTGTTCATGCTCTATGTTGAGTGTAGTGTAGTATTGTGTGGTGTAGTGTAGTGTTGTGTGGTGTAGTGTAGTGTAGTGTGCAGTAGATCTCCACATTGTTTATTTCAGATTAATGAAGGAGGATCTGTCTTGTTGTTTTTCCGATCTTGGTTGGCTTTGACATCCTGATGTGTGCGTGTGCTGCGTGTATTTGAAATAATGGTGCCTAGTTATGTATGTAGATAGGTAGGTGTGAGAGACTTTGTTTAGATTTATCCTGTTGATGGTGATTGGTGATTGTTGTTGGTTCGGTATCTTCATCGTCATGGTGCATAATGTATAGATGAATTTCTAAACTATCAGCTTGACTAGCCGTGGTTTAACCGACTTGTGTTGACAGTGGATGATGATGACAGATGAAATGAAAATCTAGGCCACACCAGAACTCAAACCAACGAATATCAGGTTTCTGACCCAGTGCTCGACCAACCTGTCTACGAGATCCGACTACTGACCAGATTTTTATTTCACTTCAATCACCAAATGAAGTACAGTAAATAATATCTAGTATGGTGTAAGAAATTACAATATTGTATTGTTTATTCTGTTCGAAAATTGATTATAGATGGCATAAAAAGGATGAACATCAACCAATTCCTGTCTGGCCTCCAGTGACATCATTAACACACTATGAAGAGTCAAATATGAACGTTCGAAGGCCTAGAATTTATGCTCTACGCGGACGTCATTTAGTAATCCATTCTGTAACTGAATCAGATTCTGGATCATATGAAATGATTTTAACGAATACTGCTGGTCGAGCTTCTATTGTATTTGACATTTTAGTTAACTGTAAGTTGGAAAAAAGTCGAATACTGCGCATATTTTTGTTTTGTTTGATGATTAAAGATTACGCGGGAAATATAAATGCATACATATACTTATATTTGTTGAGCTTACATACACATACAATGTCAATGAATTTCCGTAATTTCTATAAATTGATGTCTTTTTTAAAGGTAGTTTTGATAAAATTTATCTTTTCATATGTTTGATTTGTTGACTATTTGAATTTCGAAAATTTTAAAATGTTCATTATATTAACTTAATAAAACAAAAGTGAACATTGAATGGATTTAATTATAAACACTTTAACTGAGATGTATTTTGATCTAATCGTATTTAAAATTCTTTCCTTCCTTTCCTTTTAAGTGAATTCAAACTAGGCGGTCTATCTCATTTGCGACTAACATGGGGTAGATACTACTGAAAAGATTTTATCGTATAGACTGCAGTCTAGAATGCTTCTTCTTTGTTATATATTCAGATATCTCCCTGGCTCCACAGATGATTTTTGTACCAGTTTGAAATCATAAAATGAGTGATGATATTTAGGATAATCTTTATACACTAGTGAGCCACACAAGCAGTTAGAAATCACTCACGCTGACCTGCAGACTTTGCTAGCCAGAGTACTCGTTTGGGGTCGAGCACATCGGTCATGCGCTCAGACGGAATTCAGCTTATAGAATCGAATTGTTCAGAACAACTGAATCTGGTTAGATGACTTGCATGGAATAATTTGGAAATGATTTATGAATTGCACGGTCCACAATGACATTTCTCATAGCTGAATAGTTTCCCAGATCCCCAACTGTGGCCCAAATAGGCTTTCCGTTGGACGCCATTTATCACTGAAAGTCATAAGGTATGGTTTCTGACAAAAAAGTGTTTATAACCATCGAAATATACTCCTGAGAAACATGAGAAACTACTCATGGTGATCTGTAGAATTCGCTAGTTAGATCAAAATGATCTATTTCGGTTGTTCGTGACATATTTTTTTTCATAGATCACACCATGTGATCTTGGCTGATCAGTGGTTTTCAACAGAAACCATGTTAACACCACAGTTGGGCGTTTGAAAAACTACTCAACCGTGAGAAGTATCAACGTGGACCGCGGGATTCGTAAATCATTTGGGAACTGATCAACTTATTTATAAGTATCCTGTTTTTTTGCAAACTACCATTCATTGGTCCGTCATGGTCAATACTATGTATGGTTATTCTGGTAACTGCATTTTAGACTTCTTTTTTTGTATATTTAAGACATTAAGAAAAAATAAAACTGGAACATTTCTACCAATTAATTTATCTCAATACGCTGTATTAACCAGCGTTTACCTCAGAAATGTTCAAAATGATAAACATTAAGTTTTTAGGAGACAATATAGTGTGGTAGATAAACACTATGTGGAATATGAACTAATTAAGGTAATTTGTGAGACAACGACAACTAGGGATTTGCATTGTAAAAAGGTTAATGCGAATATTCATAATGACACGACAATGTGTAAAACGATGTTCAAACAGATAGACAATGTAGGTCGAGGACTGATCTTGGTGAAGACGCACTATATCTAAATGATAACGTAGATGTGAACAAAGAACGTTATATCATCTTCATCTATAGTGTGACATGATGAATGCTCTATTTAAATTGGTTGGCTGTGAGAATGAAAGCCAGCCACTTTAGTAGTAAAAGTCATTTATACACCATGCTATCGGTAAACAAGGAAATTTAGTAAGGTGCTCCAAGTAAACAAAATCAGGCATATATTATTGAGTTTCAAAATGCCTATCTGTCAACTGCATCTGTAACCCAATACATTTAACTATGGGAATGTTTCACTTACCTCAGCTAACACTTCCCCAAAACTGAGGTGTATGTTGTAAGTATCTTCTACGGTTTCTTAGTTTCAAGTATCGACACAGCTATTCACAAGTAAATATATTAATTTGTAATGTCTGACATTACAGTATAGATAGGTGACAATACCTTTCACATTCCTCATTTGACTAATACTTTCTATTCCCTATCAATTGCTATAATATCGTGCTGGTCAATGTGAAAGGACAATGTTTTCACCTATCAGGTTGATCACACCGGTTTAGATTGTTTCAGTGAAGTGAATACTTTGTTTAAAAAGGTTGTCTTGGAGTGTTTTCTGCTCAACTGTCGAGGCAGGATTTCAAATAACGACTTCCAGGTTACCGGCCAAGTACTCTACTAGGTTGCGAGACAACTGTAGACCAGATCCTAATTCCAATTCTGTTATCAAGGGTCTTACTCGACTGCCACGTGAATTACTGATGAGTCGTTATCCATGTATCGTATTTATACTGGCTTTTCAGCCAGAACTTCTCATCCAAATTAAAATCAACTTAAATCTGAGAGGAGAAGCGTCATATTGATTATCATCCGGCTATCGGAGATAGTCCGTGGCAAAATTGATATTAGGTTTATCAGATAGTCAAATTGATAATCAGTATGATGCACTTCCTCTCTGTTTTAGCTAGATTCAGATTCATCTGAGAAGTCCTGACTGGAATTATGATTTAGTCTATATTTGTGTTTGACGTTCAAATTAGTAGAGCATCAAGCCGATAACTTTGAAGTCGTCACTGATTAGAATTTGATTTCACCTTCAGTCATCACCCATTATCTTTTAGTAGTCAATATTTCCTTCATAACTTTTTCCAGTCTATGTATAGTCTCCTGTTTACTCAATGCTTGTTTATGCCTCAAAATGTTTACACGTTTATTGAGCCTTAAGCGTGAACTTTCTCTTCTGAGAAAGCAAGCAGTTATCAGTAGGATGGTATCTATTATGAACAATTAAAAATTGCTTGCACTACCTAAAAGTCAGCGCTTACTTGTCCCAGTGATAAAGTAGAATTATCCTGCCTCTTTTTTACTGGTCTTTATTATATAAGTTTTTTGAGATTTTCGTTTTCTTGGTTCAATCTGACAACTGTCCAACTACTTGATGTGTATTTACACACAAAACATCAATCATCATCAGTTATAACATTGAGTTTTTAAATCAGGGTGAATGGCTATAGACACTTTAAATGGGTGATATCCAGTGATGCTTTTGAAGTGATGATAGGAGTAAAACAAGGCTGTCTACTATCACCCATGATATTCCTGATTGTAGTGGACTGGATCATGCAAGAAACAATGAGGAGAGAGAAGAGGGGGATACGCTGGACCGAGGAAAGAACGTAGAAGATTTGGATTTCTCCAGTGATGACTTATGTCTGATGTCACACAAACTTGGAGATGTACAGGCGAAAAGTAACAGGTTGAGAGGAGAGGTAGGACAGCGAAGACAGGACTTCAAGTGAATGTAGAGGGGACAGAGGTGATGAAGATACCTAATCAACAGCACTACCACTACCACCACCAACAACAACAAGCTCCAGTCACCATCAACGGGAGAAAGTTGAAGGAAGTAGCCTGTTTCACCTATCTAGGCAGCATCGTTTCAACTACAGGCTACACAGATGATGGCGTCAAAGCCAACCAGCATCGGAAAACCAAGGCGGGTGTTGATTAACCTGAAACCAGTGTGACGATCTTGTGCACTGCACTCAGCATAAAGCGTGTACAAGATCCAGATTTTTAACACGAATTCAGTGAAGTCAGTCAGTGCTTCTATATGGTTGAGAGACTTGGTGCATTACGAAAAGTATTTTCAACAAACTGTGAACATTCATGAACAACTGCCTATGCTGGCTCGTTACTGAAGCTCAGATGGCTATAATAATAAGAATAAGCAAGAAGGAACTGTGGCTGGCTTGCTGGCTGGCAACGAAGCAAGAAACTATTGGTGAAGAAATATGGACTGGAAGGAAGTGTAGATGGATGTGATTGGGCGTGCACTGAGAAGACCGACTGGGGACATCACGCGCCAGGCCAGTCTTCTGAGTGGAACTCAAATGGGATGCGACGAGTTGGGCGTCGCGTGAGATGGTGTGATGAGGAAATGAGAACTTGTGAGCAGTCGTGGAGTTAAGTTCAAAAGATTTCAGAGAACAGAGCGCATTAAAGACGTGCTAGTGAATTCCTATGTTCCATTACGAACCCAAGGGACAAATAAAATATAAGTAATGATAATAATAATAATAATGGGTGATATCACAGTGTATATCAACCATAAGTTGTAGATAGTAGTATTATACATTAAAAGAAATTGGTTATTCAACGGGATCAATATGGAAAATGAAGATTTCAACAATGAATATCCTTGTTTGCATTGATTTCTTTATCATAGCAATACAATCGTGTTAATCTATAAATTATTTAGTTATTCAATTATAAATTTGTTTGCTTATGCTCATGTTTCAATTTTTTTTTTCCTACTGAATGGAATCAGTATTATGAGTAACAACAACAACAATAAGTGTCGTATTTTTTTTAAAAATTTCACTTTAGTTCCACCTGAGTTCTATCAACCATTAACTCATGAAGAACACGCTTTGGATGAAGACAGTTCAATTACATTAGACTGTGGTATTAAAAAACGTTCAATTCCTGGAAGTATAGTCTACTGGGAGAAAGATCAACGGGTTCTAGAGAAATATGCTAATAGTGTAAGTTGTTAGTTTTAAAATCATGTAATCTATGCGTAGACAAAACGTTTTATAAAACCCTATGATGGTGAGAACACTACGGAATACAACAAACATTTATCAATCTCATTCAACAACTATATGATGACGCCATATGCCAAGTAATTCACAATGAGAAGCTCAGTGATGCTTTTGAAGTGATGATAGGAGTAAAACAAGGCTGTCTACTATCACCCATGATATTCCTGATTGTAGTGGACTGGATCATGCAAGAAACAATGAGGAGAGAGAAGAGGGGGATACACTGGCTGGACCGGGGAAAAGAACCTACAAGATTTGGATTTCGCCAGTGATGACTTATGTCTGATGTCACACAAACTTGAAGATGTACAGGCGAAAACTAACAAGTTGACAGAAGAGTTAGGACAGCGAAGACAGGACTTCAAGTGAATGTAGAGGGGACAGAGGTGATGAAGATACCTAATCAACAGCACTACCACTACCACCACCAACAACAACAACAACAAGCTTCAATGACCATGAACGGGAGAAAGTCGAAGGAAGTAGCCTGTTTCACCTATCTAGGCAGCACCGTTTCAAACACAGGCGGTACAGGCACAGGTGAGGATGTCAAAACCACGATTGGAAAGCGGATGGGAAACGACGAGTTGGGCGTCGGAGACGAGGGTTTCATGGAGAAGATGGTGTGGGGTAGAAATGAGAGCTTGTGAGCAGTCGTGGAGCCAGGTTTGAAAGATTACAGAGAAGAGAGTGTACTGGAGACGTACAGTGAATTCCTATGTTCCACTAGGAACCCAAAGGACAAGTAGTAAAATAATGATAGTGAGAATGAAGAAGATAGTTTTAACCACTAGTCAAGATTAGTAACAGTGAGTAGTACTTAGCAGCTTTTTCAAAAATAATAGTTTCAAGTTATCTCTTCACCGACTGAATAATAGGGAATACCTAGATGGTGCCAACGCGAAGAGGCACTTTCATTAGATACGAGTAGTAACTGTCCTCCTTCAGAATTTAAGTGAGCTGCGAAAATCACAAGGCAAATATTAGCCTGTAAGTGGAATAAATACAGTTTATCCGATAAAAATACATCATTAATATGTAATGTTCATGAATACTAAATTAAAAGTCGAGTATTTATTTTGATTAGTTAACAAAACTGTCCAATAAGGTTTTTTCCAACTATGCAGTAGCGGGAAATAAAAGTTGGAATAGAAAAACTTCTACTTTAGAAACTGTTGACTTGAAATGTTTTCTGTATACACATCTTGTCAACTATCTATTAAAAAAACCGTTTTTAACACTTATGTTTGTTTTTTTCTAGTATCTTTCTCTCAATCTGCTACAAATAGATCTAAGACTTGGTATATTTTTATGCGTCTTAGTGTTATTTTATACACTGTATACTGATTGTCTGAAAATTCATACCTCTGACGTCACATTAAATATTAATTATACTTACTCAAAGGTTGTAATACACCATCTGCATCAGATATTTAACAAGTGATACATGGATGTTATCTAAGGAAACTTCATAACATAATACAATATAATGATATAAAATCAATATATAAAACACCTTATTGAAAATGTTTTGTATCTAAGTAGGTATTTTTAAAATGCATATATTATAGACAGCGTTATTTGTAAATTTTACTGGGTGATGATTAAAGTTGAAATGAGAATTTGGACCACGGCCGGATTCGGACCAGGGACTACCGAGTCAAACTGCGGCTATCTCAGTCAAATGATAATCCATACGATGTTTCTCCCCCCCCCCCCCCCCATCTCTCTTACTCACTTAGATTTGGTTTGGGATGAGAAGTCTTGACTGAACAACCAGTATGAATACGATCAAGCGGTAGTAACGCATCACAAATTCACATGATAGTCGGGCAAAACCGCGTTTGTGATTGAAGTGAAATAAAAATCTAGTCAGCATTCGGACGTCATAGGTCAGTCGGTAGAACACCGAGCTGGAAACCCAGTGGTGGCTGGTTCGAATCCAACGGAGGTTCAAATTTCCATTTCATCTTCAATCACCACTCAGTATAAATAGTAGTCTGTTAAACTTCTGCTATTTTAATTAAATGATAATGTGAATTATCCATAAATCCTTGTAGCTTACGCAATACATGTGTAACATGAACTTTATCTGTTGGCTATCTGCTAGTCATGATTTTTACAACTGGTAAAAAAGAAAATAAAAACTGCACTTAATCAACCATGCATTTCTGCTTATTTATTTATAACTATAATCTCCCGTTGTTATACTGTATTGAATTCCTCGACTTCTGTTGCCAGATGACCTGCTATGTGGATGAGTTTATATTGCCTAAATATTCAATAATGCTATAATTCACTTTGTGGTGGGATCCACAACGAACCAATAGAAGTTGAACAATTCGATGCAGTATGACAAAGTGAGATTGCAAGTATCATTGAATAACAGCTGATATCCGTCATACAAGAAGTAACTGTTATGCTTCAGTGACATGAGTGAGTAACGCTTTGGTATTTAAAGCGATGTCTGCAGAGTTGAAGTCTCGGTGGGGTTGCTATTACTCTCTGGGGTAGACAAACATCCAACTAAGCCGCTATGAACATACATGAAAAATCGAATGTTCATAATTTCTAACTCTTTTGCTCCATGCATTAGGTTTTAAGTGTCATCAGTCATATCAGCTTGAAGTATCTTATCGTTTTCGTGGTCTGTTTTATTTTCTGAAATAATTGAAAGAGGAAATAACGTTAAACCGAGTCGTAATGCTTTGCTGTGAATATTTGCAGACCCTTACTCACTGATGCCCACCACCACTAAAAACAACAACAAGCTCCAGTCACCATCAACGGGAGAAACCTAATAGAAGTAGCCTCTTTCACCTATCTAGGCAGCATCGTTTCAACTACAGGCTACACAGATGATAACGTCAAAGCCAGCCGGCATCGGAAAACCAAGAAAGGCGTCCAATAACCTGAAACCAGTGTGACGATCTTGTGCACTGAACTCAGCATAAAGCGTGTACAAGATCTAGATTTTTAACACGAATTCAGTGAAGTCAGTCAATGCTTGTATATGGTTGAGAGACTTGGTGCATTACGAAAAGTATTTTCAACAAACTGTGAACATTCATGAACAACTGCCTATGCTGGCTCGTTACTGAAGCTCAGATGGCTATAATAATAAGAATAAGCAAGAAGGAACTGTGGCTGGCTGGTTGGTTGGTTAGCTGGCTGACTGATTGGCTGACTGGCTGGCAACGAAGTAATGAAGCAAGAAACTATTGGTGAACAAATATGCATTGGAAGGAAGTGTAGATGGATTTGATTGGGCATACACTGAGAAGACCGACTGGGGATATCACGTGACACCACGTGACGCCAGTTACTCGAGTTGAACTCAAATGTGATGCGACGAGTTGGACGTTGGAGGAGAGGGTGACATGGAGGAGATGATGTGAGGAAGAAATGAGAGGTTGTGAGCAGTGATGGAGCTAGGTTGAAAAGATTGGAGACGTGCTAGTGAATTCCTACTTTCCACTCGGAACCCAAAGGACAAGTAATAAATATTATAATTCATTGATAAGTGCTAGATACTTGAGAACCTAACGTTTTATAATTGAATATTCACTTTACAACACCTAGGTCACTATTTCTGTCATCAGCGTTATGAATACTACTTACAATATCTTTTTGGAGATAGTTGCTCTCAGCAGTAATCTCTTGATTTCAAAACCAGGAAAATTCTTGCGAGAAATCATCCTTTCATCATTCGCCCCCCCCCTCCACAAACTCAATCGAATATTGAAATTGACCGCTAGTTAAAGAATTCAATGGTTTTCTAATGTATTGGCTAATAAAAAAATGGTTGTTAAAGAAGATAGTGTCGTTCTGTAGATGATGACTTAACGGAATCCTGTAAACTTTATTCATACTGGTTTTTCAATTACCTCTTATTGATCCATATGGCTACTAAGCAACGTAGCATACTATACCTTGAAACACTGACAGCAAATTGCTTTACCTAACTGAAAATCATGTTTATAACAGAGCAACTTAAGTGTTTGCCTGGAAAATACTAATTAGCTCATTTGATGTAATGCCTTAACCTTGTAGTAATTATTATGTGTAGAATTTTATATTCAATGTTACATTGCGCTATGTATTTTGTTTGTAGCGTTATATTGTTGTTTAACTCAGCTAGAATAAACTTGATTAAATTAACATATAATCAATTATTTTTTTATGTAAAGCTTATGGTTTTGGAGAATAATGGAGAGACTCTACGATTTCCTGAATTAAAACCAGAAGATCAAGGTCAGTATCAGTGTTTTGTACAAACTGATGGATATAAGGAACGATGGGCTGGTCGTGAACAAACTTTAGTTGTTAAAGGTCAGTCAAAAAATCATTTAATAAAACTATTGAGTTTATTGTTAACTCCATTGCTGCTGGTTTATTTATTACTTCTTCAGAGATCTTAGTCAGATAAGAAGTTAAAGTTTTAAAGTATATTTTCACCATTTTTTTTTTCATTTTAGACACCTTTACAACTTTACACTGTGACAAACGGCATCATCCTTGTCTACATGTCCACTCATAATCATGTTACAACAAACTATTTTGAAGAAGTTATCTTAGTGACTTTATTGAGAGTCACCTAAAAATACTTAAAGAGACTGGATATAAGGGTGGTCACTTGATAGTAAATGTCAAAACTGTGTAGTGGAATAAGTAGTCGTCCATAGAACTCTACACTGATGAGTAGAAGCATAGCAGTTGTTCCTTTGTTAATTAAGGTTTGTTTCACCTGAGTTATCTGTATAAAATTGCTAGGAAAACAACCTTATTTGTTGTGCTGTCTTGCAACAATGCGATTAGGACTAGGAAACATGAAATTGGTTACGCTCCATTTATTGGTCAATGTATCTGATTCCTTCTTATTTGAGGAGAACACGCGTAGTAGTAGCTGAGTGGTAACGACGCTGACTACAACACTAGACGGTGCGGTGTTGGGTCTCGGAGGGGACATCATTTTCTTTTACAGTTGCACGCAACTCTTTTCACGAGTACCAGTAAAGGCATAAAATCCCAGTTAAACAGGACTTTCTGTTTCCAACCACCTAATATCTTGCCTTGTAAGGGTATATCAGCTGTCATTTCTTTACCATTTATATTTCTAAATATACGGAGTTAGTTAAATTTTCTATGAACCGTATAAACGACATCTAAACAAAATGTCAACTATATTTATTGCTACAATACAACTGGTTACACTGGAACACCTTACTTTTATTATATTCCATAGTATATCTTGTTACTTTCTCAATTTTAAATGTTACCACACTTCCGCTTTTTTTTTGATTACTTAAGAAAGTTATGGAAGCTTAACAAATCAGTGTGTTTTAAACTTGAAATTTAGCTACATGACTATGACAGACATAGATTATTCATACATGTACTTTTTTCCCTTGTGAAATCAGAAAAATAATTTTGTAGCTCATAGGTTACAAGTTCGTATTATCATTATTATTCTAATGATGTTCAAATTATAACCAATAATGAAGAAAGAGATAAGAAAGATTGAAATTCACCCATTTTTTGAACCTTTACTTAATTGAAAATTACACTGGTGTCAGTTGACGATGAATAACAACTTGAAATATTTCCAAATCTCTACAACGCCCTCAAAATTCAATTGAACTGGTGCTCATTGGTGTCTAGCTTCAAAAGGTATTCCCGAAGTTACAATGAGAAGTCGTGATCGGTGGAGTCAAAGCCTGATGGTCGTGAGGACAGTTACTCAACGATGACATTGGGTGGCGGTTACGCTATATTGTGAGCTAACAGAAGTTGGGAATATGGAACATTGGATTTTGACCGAGTGGCTCAATGGTAACGTGCTGGCCGCGGAACCTGAAAGTCGCGGGTTCCATCCCTGGGGGATGGGGTCATGGGTGCGCACTGCTGAGGAGTCCCATACTGGGGCGAAACAGCTGTCCAGTGCTCCTAGGTTTCCTTTGTTCCTCCAACTGATGTCAGTCTACGATGAATAACAACTTGAAATATTTCCAAATCTCCACAACTCCTCAAAGTTACACATAAGTAAACAGTGGATATTTAAATTGGAAGTTTATAACTGTTAAGCTTCAAGTTACGTACAGAATTCGTGACCGGATTAACATTAGGATAAGCTTATAAATAGCTTATGTTCAGAAATTCAATTGAGAAACAAGTTCAGTGGAGTAAAACAGGAAAGAATAAGTTTTCTCATTATTTATATTATTATTATTTGTCCCTTGGGTTCCTAGTGGAAAATAGGAATTCACTAGAACGTCTCCAGTACACTCTCTTTTCTACAATCTTTCGAACTTGGCTCCACAAATGCCCACAACCTCTCATTTCTTCCTCATACCATCTCCTCCATGTCACCCTCTCCTCCAACGTCCAACTCGTCGCATCACATTTGAGTTCCACTCAAAAGACTGGCCTGGCGCGTGATGTCCCGAGTCAGTCTTCTCAGTGTATGCCCAATCAAATCCATCTACACTTCCTTCCAGTCCATATTTCTTCACCAATAGTTTCTTGCTTCGTTGCCAGCCAGCAAGCCAGCCACAGTTCCTTCTTGCTTATTCTTATTATTATAGCCATCTGAGCTTCAGTAACGAGCCAGCATAGGCAGTTGTTCATGAATGTCTGCAGTTTGTTGCAAATACTTTTCGTAACGCAGCAAGTCTCTCAACCATATACAAGCATTGACTGACTTCACTGAATTCGTGTTGAAAATCTGGATCTTGTTCACGCTTTATGCTGAGTCAGTGCACAAGATCGTCACACTGGTTTCAGGTTATTGGACGACCGCCTTGGTTTTCCGATGCTGGTTGGCTTTGACGTTATCATCTGTGTAGCCTGTAGTTGAAACGATGCTGCCTAGATAGGTGAAAGAGGCTACTTCTATTAGGTTTCTCCCGTTGATGGTGATTGGAGCTTGTTGTTGTTGGTGGTGGTAGTGGTGGTAGCGGTGGTGCTGTTGATTAGGTATCTTCATCACCTCTGTCCCCTCTACATTCACTTGAAGTCCTGTCTTCGCTGTCCCTCCTCTTCCGTCAATTTGTTAGTTTTCGTCTGTGGATCTCCAAGTTTGTGTGACATCAGACATAAGTCATCACTGGAGAAATTCAAATGTTTTACGTTCTTTTCTCGGTCCAGCGTATCCCCCTCTTCTCTCTCCTCATTGTTTCTTGCATGATCCAGTCTACTACAAGTAGGATTAGCCAAGAAGCACATACTTTCCCTAGGTACAGCTTTTCAGAATCATTTATAATTGAAAATTTCAACTGAAAAGTACCAAGATTATTCACATTATTATGAAAATAACACATTGTGTCAGTGAATAATGTATACTAAACTGGTTACTCGAGGGTCACTAATTTTCATGTTGCTCAATCCCGAGTGCTAGTCAACTGCTGTTGATCCTTTTGCAGTAATATTTCAGAATATTTCCAATTGTAAGTTACTGAGAGGTAATCAGTAATGAAGCTTAGGTTTAGACATAATTCTTCAAAAAAACATGAAAGAAAATTATATTCTGTGTTGTTATCACATTGAATTCATACTAGTAGTAATTATATTGCTATATACATACAAAATAAAACCGGCTATAGGATACCGATTTCCTTCAGTGAATCAGTATATGCTTTGAAAACAGAGTGAACCTTTTATCTAATCATCTTAATCATTTATTCATTTGTTTTCTATTTTAGCTAAATTACAATTTTTACGTGAACTTCGTGAACAATTCTTAGAAATAAATGTACAAGGAAGGATTCCGTGTAAAGCTCGAGGTTATGGTATAGTAAGTGTTGAATGGTTTCGTAAAATTGAATCATATTCTAATGATTTACAAAGAATTCGTCCACCTAATCAAGTTGAAGGTGGTACACTTATAATTCAATATGTTCAAAAACATGATGCTGGTGATTATGTTTGTATTGCAAAATCAACTTACAAAAATGCTCAGATCAATATGACTGTAAAAGTGATTGTTGGAGGTAAGAAGTATTATCTTAAGTAATTTATATATTCTTAGAAATAACACTTTGCATACTTAATTGTTTTGCTCATTTTAATGTGATTTATAACTTCTACTCCTATACAGAATAATGATACCTATTAGACGAGTAGCTAGAAAATGTTATGTAGGCTTTTTAGGCAATTGGTGGAATGACTGACATTTTTTCTAATCCCTAGAAAGCTTATTTCCATATTACACTAGTTATATTGTATTAATGTTAATGACAAACAATCATTTCATTCATTCAGGGTTCAACTTATCAATTATATGCGAGATAAATACGGTACAGAAAGTCTAATTGTTTTAATCAACTAAACCTGACTATATCATTTCAATCAGGTTAATATAAATTCATTATAACTACTTATTTTGTTGTAATTTCCCTAGTGATGGCTAGCCGTGAAATCTAGGACATGAGTTTCGTCCTTTTAGGGACTCGTCTATCTGTCTGTCTGTCTCTCAGTTAGCTTGTTTGATAAATACATGACGTTTTGGTCGAATATTTGATCTTCATTTACAGCCTGTTCACTTCACGCTTTTTGGTTAAATACTTTATTTTTCAGTCTCTACTATGTGGTGGAGATAATTATTTCATTATTTATGCAATAATATATGTTTTGTATCAATGTGCTGTTAAGTCGGATCCTAACATTTCCAAAGTTTTTACGCCATCACTCTTCAACTTCTTGCATGCTTCCATTTCTTTGTATTTTGTAAGTTTTTATCTTCTTCCTCTTCATATGTTTTCTTCATCTACTTCACGTCACTCTTTTCTACTGTCTTATCCAGACATTCACGATTCTACCTACACACACACACACACACGTTCTATCTCTTACGACCTTAATCTCGTTTCGATACCTCGTAGAGTCTTCCCGTTTCAAGTATTGTGATAATTTCAAAAAAAAAATGAGTCAATAACCTTGTATGCACATTCTCTTTGGTGCAGTTTATTACCTTTTACTCTTGAATGTCGAATTCTTTGTGCTTTTTTCATATATTTACTCTTTTTTTTTTAATTTTTACTTCTACATGGATGATTTATGAACATTTACCTACTGACGCACTCGTTTACTTACTTACTTACTATTCTATCTTTTTGTCCAAGTATGAACAATTGACTTAGTGTTAATATTGTGTGTAGTTAGCTTACTTCATACCTGAACATCTAGATATATGCTTGCAACTGTGTAAGAATCTTGCCTACACCACCACTGACAGTAACCGCTCTCAGTCATCGCCTAGTCATTTCAAATGATACCTCTGTCTTTTGTCTAAGCATATATATATATATATATATATATATATATATATATATATATATATGAGAGGGACATGCTTAGTTTCGACCTTTTTACAATCTCTAACAAACTTTCATCATCATAAATCATCGTTCATTCTCACTGTAGTAACAAAATAAACAACAAAGGGATAGGTGATGCACAGAACAACAACAGCAGCAGCGGTACTACGTGTTTATGTATGTGCATAGTCGTCAATGTACTGATATTTTCAGTACATCTGTGTGTGTTTGTTTGTGTATATACATACATACCTGTATAAGTCTTCATGCCTAAACATTTGTCTAAGTACCTTTACATATGCACGTATACATCTTGGTAGTGGCTTGATGCACTTTGGTAAGGTATATTTTTTATAAAAATGTTATTTAGCTGCTTTACATGCACTATATTTGTAATCAACGTACTAGTTCGATTTCTGTAGTCTATATGACTAAAATATTAAAATAGAAGGTTATAAGCAGGGTTACAACTTATATACAACTTGACTCATAGTGAAATATCAAGATACTTGTTTTTCGCACTATTCAACACTCATCAACTGAATACAATAGCAGGTCAGCGAGTATTATGAGTAATATTATGATGAGAGTATGGTGCCATCTATTTACTTAAACTTTATATGGTTATTACTTATACTGTTGAGTAATAAAACTCATATGTTATACATGTGACATTTCTTGAGTCACCGTAACTTGGTATAACCCCCATTGCGGGGGTTTTCTGAAGTGGATTTTTATTCAGTTTTCAATAGTAGTGAACAGATTATTGCCCTAGATAATCGAAATTCTATATATTCTGAGCACATATTAACCTTTTTTGATGGATAAAAGTGGTCAAAGTTTGCAAAACAAAGCTATATGGAGTACAGGAACTATAAAATAATTGATTGGGAATCGTAATAACTTCTATCTAATGCTACCTTTTTGTTTTCGAGCTTATTTAAACAAGTAATATACTTTCTTTTTAAATAGCTTAGCACTTGGTTAGGGATTCGTTCATTCAGCCTAAACGCTAATGCCTAATTAGCATGTTGTTTCTGGTATTGTCGGTTGTGCAGGTGGTCGTCAGTTGTTCCTTTAGTAGTCTGACTAGTTTGTCTGATTGTGTGTATTTATACGGCTAATCTGTTTGCATACTTGTCTTAGTGTGTGCAGATTGGTCGTTTGAATGTAACCGTTGTAGCTATCTAGTTCTTGGCGTTGATAAAAGTCTATCAGTCAAGTTTGTAACCAATACAATAAATAGTATGATATTACAGTGAATGCCTAATTTAGTGTCATATGTTAGGAGAAAATGAATAGAAAGGACTGAATCTACACTTCACATTTAACAGAAACATAAATCTGTAACCTTTAAGAAACTCTTAATTCCTCAAAAATCTAAACTCATTTCACCACCTGGAAACTAGTTTCTGTACAGAATCCAATCCTATATAAGGCAATCATGACTCAAATAGTTTAATGATGAAGTCACAGAAATTGTCGCTGAACGATACGAGTTCTAACCTTTGCGAGAATAAGTCTCCGTAACCTTTTATGTACGTCTTCCTGAAAAGTACTGTCAAGTAATAAACTTAAGCCCAGGACTTCCTACTAAACTATGAAATCTGCTTACTTATTCAGGAATAAATTATTATTATCATTATAATTTGTCCCTTGCGTTCCTACTGGAACATAAGGATTCAATAGCACGTCTCCATTTCACTCTCTTCTCTACAGTCTTTTGAACCTGGCTCCATGACTGCCCACAAGCTTTCATTTCTTCCTCACATAATCTCCTCCATGTCAACCTTGACCCGGACACCCAACTCGTCGATTCCTATTTGGCTTCCACTCGAGGAACTAGCCTGGCGTGTGGTGTCTCCGAATGGTTTTCTCATTGTATGCTCAATCCAGTCCATTTCCACTTTTTTCTGCATATTTGTTGGGCGATAGGTTCATGGTTGGTTGCTTGCCAGTGAGAGTGAGTTCCTTGTTGTTTATTCTCATCATTCCGGCCACCTGATCTGATCTTGAGTATTGAGTGAGCGAAGATGGCAGCTGTTATTGTATGTCTGTAGGTAGTTGGAAATGCTTTTTGTAAGGTGCCAAGTTTCTCAATCATCACGTGGAAGCACTGAGTGACTTGACTGTGTGACTGGCATTAGTGTTGAAATCGGGATGTTGTTCACGCTCTGTGTTGAGTGGAGTGGAGTGGAGTGCAGTAGATCTCCACACCGATTATTTCAGATTAATGCAGGAAGACTTGTCTTGCTGTCTTTTTGATTCTAGATGCGTTTGGCATCCTTATGTGTGCCTGCGCCGCCTGTATTTGAAACGATGCTGCCCAACTAGGTGGTTGAAAGAGACTACTTCGTTTAGGTTTCTCCCGTTGATGGTGACTGGTGCTTGTTTTTGTTGTTGTCAGTGTGGTATCTTTATCACCTCTGTCTTCTGTACGTTCACCTGAACTCAGTCCCGTCTTCGCTGCCTCTTCTGTTAACTTGTTGGTTTTTTCCTGTAGATCTTCAAGGTTGTGCGACATTATACATAAATAATTATCGGCGAAATCGAAATCTTCTAAGGTCTTTTCATCGGTTCAGTCAGCGTATGCCCATCTTCTCACTCCTCATGGTTTGCTGCATGAACCAGTCGACCATAATGAGGAAGATCATCGGTGATAGTAGGCAACCTTTTCTTACTGCTATCTTCATTTCAAAGGCATCACTGAGCTTTGCATTGTGAATCATTTGGCACGTAGCCTAGTATACCATATAGCTGCTGTTGATTGAGGTTGATAAAGATTTGTGTCACTGAAATCGTAGTGTTGAAGCAGCTTCCTACTAAATTACTTCTCAGTCGATGCTTTCAAATGCCTTTTCAAAATCGATGAAGTTGAGGTTCAGTTGAGTTGACTGCCATTCTATGCTCTCTTCTATGATGATGCGTAGCGTTGCAATATGATATACACATTAATTGTTTTCCCTGAAGCCAGAAAACTGTTCCGGTCATAATTTTGAATGCAGAGCATGATTTAGTCTCTCCAGGATGATGTAGCTTAATATTTTGATTGGGGGAGGGGGGTGGGGACAGGGGTGGAGCATGATTCTGCACCAGTTATCATTTCTGTAAGCCTCATGTAGGGTAAAAACAAATTATCTTTGGTAAGTATACATACTATGGTACTTATCAAAAAACCTAGTCAGAAAAAAGAAATAATCGGACAACTACATTTAATAAGTGAATGATAAAAAAGATAAGTACTACTGAGTGTTGTTGTGAGCAGTATGAGTGAACATTTCACGCTAATGATCTCGAATATTTCAGTAATGCTTTCTTTCCAATCTATTTCTTTTCTGGCTTACTGTAACTTCACTCAATGTTAAGCTAAGAACTAAGTAGTTTCATTAACTTCATTCGTACAAATACATATATATATGGGAATAAGATGATACCCAATCAACAACAACAACAAGTTCCAATCACCATGAACAGGAGAAACCTAATGGAAGTAGCCTGTTTCACCTATCTAGGCAGCATCGTTTCAACTACAGGCTACACAGATGATGACATCAAAGCCAGCCAGCATCGGAAAAGCAAGACGGGCGTTGATTAACCTGAAACCAGTGTGGCGATCTTGTGCACTGCATCATCATTATCAACATAGGACCAGGCATTACTGCGTAACGGTCCGA